GTCGTATAGAGTCATCCATAGTTTTTCACATATGGTGTGTTGACACGTGTTCTGCAATAAATATACATTTGACACATGTCAATACATAATGTTATGAATGACTTTATAGAACACCAAAATATTTTATCACTGCTTTAGGTATCAGCACTATGGCTTTCAACCTAAACTATACATACTTTTTTGAAAAGGTTAGGCTCGGAATTATTGGAAGAATTTCTTATGTCGGAAGAAGTAATATATATATATAATTGCTGGCTCATGAGCATTTAATAAAACCTATTAAATTATACCTATGTGTCAATATAATTTTTTCCCTAAAAAAACCGTTACTTTTTATTTATTTAACCTCTCATTTATTTATTAGATAATCAACACACTAATCACTTCAAAACTACAAAAATCATTTTAAACTTTTGATTTATTTACAGCTGACCATATAATGTGTTGATTATTTAACGTGATTAGATGTTATTGTTGTGGTTACATTTAAATTAACTTCTTTTGAATAATAAAAAACGTATTTGAAATTCCTAAATAAATAATAAATAATTCACAAAAAAAAATACATATAAAAATATACATTACATCCAATATGATAAACACAATTTAAAAAAAATAAATATTCCAGCTCCTTTAATTGTAAATTTGGCCTGCAAAAAAATGCATGAAAAATTATTAATCATTATATTCATACAAATAACTCACAATATTTTATTTATATTTGTGTAAATGCACAGGTCGAATACTAGTTCTTTAGTATGAAGTCTATCATCATTTAATCAATTTAATCAAACAAATCCACATAATTTCAAAATTAACCATCCTATATATCAGTATAAATCCTTCCGTTTCCTAACATAAAGTATGTCCAAAATCAAATTGTTTAATAATCAAATGCTCATACATAATCTTATAAAACTCTTCTTCAAAAGAAAAATGAACAATTATGGTCAAATAAAAATAGGACTGCAATAATATATCAGGGTTCTCAATGAATTAAAAGAAATTGAGATGGACCACAAATAAAATGAAAGCACTAGGTTTGGTCAAAGGGTGCAATTAGTAACACAAAGGAAAATAACACAAACACTGCAAAAAAGAAAAAACTGTAACAAATGAGAGCGCTATAAAACTTGGTCGCAGACAGCCGTTTCTTTGTATGTATCAATCAATCTGCAGAAATTGTTACCAACTGTAAAAAAGCTAATTGGCTGCAGGTAATAAAGTTACATTTTTTTTTGGGATTTAAATGTGCCGTAAATTGCTCAGTTACAGCTTTTATTATTCTGGTCAGGACCGGTCGACCCAGTAATTAATAATGTTGGTGCAGTAGAATTTTGATAAAAGGTATAATTCTCACACGATCAAATTGGTTATTATGAAAATTAAAGAACTGTAGTTAATTTTTATTTTTTTTACTTGTTATTGTAGATTTTGAATTATTTTATCTTAGGAGGATGATTGATGATGTTTGTACGGGCCTCACCCAATATTCGGGATGTGCCTTATGGTTTACGCACCTGTTACATCCAATTAATTTTTATTTTTTCCTTTTGTTTTCAAATCTTGATGTTGATAAACTCGATTTTTAATGAAATGAATTATGTAAAATTATATAAATTTTTGTTTGGTTATTTTTTAGCTATAACAATCTGGTTCGTTTAGAATTTTGATAGTACACTTTTGTTATATATAATATATATATATATGTGTCGTTGTATAAATGTTTGGGATTTTATAGAAGAACTGTATAGAGTTAGTTTTGATTTTAAAAATTGTGTTACATGATGAAGGAGAAAATTATTAGAAAGGGTTGATAGTATATTTTTCCCCAATCATTAATATGCAATTTTCACACGAAAACCGTTTAAATAATTGAAAACCGCTGAACTAATCAACACAACCGACATGGTTTTTTTTACAAAAATTGCATAATTTTATTAGAGACTAATTTGGTTTACAATAACATAACTATAAATGTGACGTCTAATAATATAACAAAAGCATGATATTTCATATTAAAAGTATGTATTTTTCAATTTTTTATTTTTTATTTTTGTTAAAAAGTATGGCTAAATATTTATTTTTATTTTCATCTTGACTAACCATTAGAATCCGTAATAATTTGCAGAATTTCGACCCTAATGGGGCATGATATTAACAAACAGTAGGACAAGATTTGCAAAATTCACCACTCCAATGGGAGAGAGATAGAGATTAGACATTTTCATTCATTAAGTTTTGGAATTATTATTACTTTCAAAGCAGGGACGGATCCAAAACTTTTAATTTTTAGTATATATATATATAATAAATATATTATTTTTTACATAAACTTACAATGATATTAAAATAATAATTGATTACTCTTTCTACTAATATTTCAACTACAAATTATACTATTTTTTTACATTTTTGTATAACATTTTTTTTTAATTTAAATAAATTGAATGTATGAAAAACATGTGTAAACATAAAAATTGATAATTCTTGAAAAAGAAGTCCATATAAGATATGCTTAATGGAAAGAAAAAATATCAAAAAATATTAATATTGCGCCAATCATTGATGAAATACATGAGTTGAGAGAGCCTTCAATCTAAATTTGTTATTGTCAATGTTTGAAACTTTATAACTCATATTACACTATTATTATATAATTTTATAATACAACTTTCTATTTTTTTTTGTATATTAATTCAAACTTATAATTATTAAAAATATATAGCTCTCTCAAAATAAATTTCTGGATCTCTAAGAAGGTTTGTTTGTTTTTTTATTTTTTTGTTGTCAAAAGGTGGGAGTCCAATCACATCGTTTTCGTAACATTTTTGTTGTCCGGTTAAATTATGGGTTAAAGGTGATTGTGTAGCCCAAAAGGGATGGATAATCTAAGTTCCATGTTGTTCCTTTGAGAAAAGGGGAATGCAATTGCTTACACTGCAAACCACTTAACACATTTTCTCTTATGAAGATGGTAAATTAATACCAGCATAATTAAACCATGTTTAGTGGCCATGTGAAGCTAACATGGTGTGGGGGCATCTCTCGCTCCTTTT